TGAACACTGCCAGCGATGGGGCATCCACGACTTCCCTGGGCCACCTGAGCCAGTGCCTCACTACCCTCACAGTAAAGAATTTGTTCCTAATATCTAATCTAAACTTACACTCTCCCAGACTGAAGCCATCAGTCCTTGTCCTGTCACTACATGCCCTTGTAAAGAGTCCCTTTCCATCTTTCTTTGTAGGTTCCCTCCAGGTACTAGAAGGCTGCAATTAGGTTACCCTGAAGCCTTTTCTTTTCCAGGCTGAACAAACCCAATTTTCTCAGTCTTTCCTGAGGCTGCTCCATCCCTCTAATCAACTTGGTGGCCTCCTCTGGACTCACTCCAACAGGCTGATGTCCTTTATGTGCTGGGGACCCCAGCGGTGTTAGGAGAAAGAAAACAAGGTGTAAGTAGACCTTAAACAATAAAGTTATCACAACCTGTGAGCGGTCTTGTCCAAAAAGTGTTTCAGCTCATCATTATTTTCCCCCAAAATGACATGAGTAACATCTTCATTGAGTTGATTAAATCGAACACCACCACCAAAATTAATAAGTCTTCTCATCTTGTCCAACTTCCTGCCACTGAAGCCACATAGATAAATCTACAAAGAGAATAGAGCAATAAATAAGGCCTTAAAAATGTTAAAAAAAAAAAGAAAGAAAAAACAAAGAAGACTATTTTGGTAGAATTTGTTTCAACTGCTGCAGAACACAAAGCAGCGGCGCAGCTTCTGAGAAGCAGCAAAAAAGTTAAGCATTTATAATTGGATTACTTTATCTTTGAAAATTAATCTAGCAAAGCTTCAATGTTTACTAATGGAATGGACCCCAAAAATTATACAATACAAAAACCCAAAACAAACCTCCACACCAATTCTAGAACCCATTCACTATAGTATTTAAATATACATGTCTATGAATATAGAATTTTATATTTATCATACATATTTAATACAATTGTATACACCCACAAATGTAGGTGCACACACAAGCTACAGCATGTGGAGACAAATCTGGTATTAGTAGCTGACCTTTGAAACAATTTACTCAAGCAGCAAGTGCAAGTGCTCCAATATAGTAGCTTTCACATTGTTAAGACTAAACATGTCAAAGTATACATTGTTAAACATACTCGACAACCATCTAACAAATCTTCAGGGGCTTGAAAAGAACTTAGGTCCAAGTTTTCCAGCTCATCAGGAAGAGGATCCAGTCGGCTGCTCATAACAGAACTACATGCAGTTTCATTAACACCACTCAAATTGATATTGGAAATGTGGCTGACGTCCGAAAGGGTCTGATCTTTAAATAAAATTAAAATCAAAAAAGAGGCATTAGATTTGGCTCATCCCTCTCTGCCGCTTCACTAAACAACAAAATGTAAAGCCTGAAGAATGAAAAATACTAGGTAAGTAGAACCTTGGTTAAACCAAGGGCTTTATTTAAACGCAGATTGAGTATGGTCTTGCTAGCAAGAGTATACACCTTCTGTTCATTCCCAAATAGATGCTACCTATGACATAGCAGCAAATGAGACTGGTTTTCAAGGTTTTCATTCCAGTTTTGTAGACACCAATTAGAAATACTCTTACAGATAAACAGGGCTCTCTGTAGTAGAGAAATCAACAAGAAGGTCAGTGATTTAAGAGAAGTAGCAATCAGTATCAGGTGGACACAGACATTAAAGGTGGCTGTGTCTTTCAGGCTACCAGTGTGTGCTTAAAAAGTACTTTCCTTCTGTTAGAAGCATGGAGTAAGTAAAAACAAGTATATGAAGAAAAAAACAAAAATAATAATAAGGAAACTTCAAAATCAGCATTTGTTCACCACCCTCAAGACTGTTGTAAGATTAAATTCATTACAAACAATGTTTTTAAACTTCAAACGTATGAACATTCGTACTTTTATAGGACTTACAGATATACACCATGGATTCTTAAGCAGACAATCATACACCTAATGCAAGTTCATGTTTTTAACAATCATTCACATGTTTCAAGTCTACACATGCTGGAATATTCAACGTGTATAAAAGCAATCTATCGGGTTTTGAACTTAGGCAGAATGCAGAATCCAAAATGTCAAACCAGCACTGCAAAAGCAAGCACCTTGCTAATCTTAAACAGTTCTTCCTCCTTAATATAAATGTTTCCTACCTTACTTTTAACATATTTTAAAATATCTTACTTACTGTCAGGCTTGCTGGCATCATTCGTAGGTGTTGATGTACTGGGTGCATTACTCAGTTTTGATCCAGCCTCTATTTTATACATTGTCTCATCCTGACAGAAGCCTTTCTTGATGCTGTCAGAAAACCACTGCACGGACACACAGTGCACATTCCACTTTTTGGCACATTCATACTTCTGACCTTCCAAATGTAAACAAAATTTTAAAAAATCACAATCACTAAAAGGCTGAAGCTTCAGACAGTGATTGCAGAAAGATGGCTGGACATTAAGAAAATTTAGAAATTCAAATAACTTATTTATTGTGTTATCCTGGACTCTGTTGATAAGCTGCTTATTCTCTAATTGAAGTTAGAGTAAAAAATATCATGGATGGCTAGATCATGGGTACAGTAGGACAGGGTACTAAAGAAACAAAAAAGGAAAAAAGGCTTTAAAGCTTTCAAGCACATGGGAAAAAAATGGTTAAAAAGTCCCAGGATATTTCACTGTAGAGATAGGGAGGGAAATTGGAGAAAAAAGAAAACCCTTCAATGCTTCTCACAATAAAATTAAAATCCTTTCATCTTCCCAAGAGGAAGGAAAAGGAGCTTTTGTTTTATCTTAGTATGGAGTTCAGAAGGCACAAAGAATAATCAGTTAAAAAAGCATCAGGCCACTATCCCATTTCAATCGCAGTGTAAATTAAGTACTATCCAGCTCTCCCAAAAAAATGAGTTTTTCTTTTCTTTACCCCCTCTAGGATTCACCCTTTTTTCTTCCCTTAAATACCAACTGTGTCTCTGGCTTTTTTAATCTCTTTTGTTCTCTCTCCCTCATGCCTTTAGACCAAAGCAAGGGTGCCCTGTGTTGTTCCTTCCAACAGCAGTGATTGCCTAAACAGAAGCAGTAAGAGCAACACTGAAGCAGAGCAGGAGACAAGTTCCAAACCTTACACTTATGCACATTTACACTAATTCAACTCAAGAAGTGAAAACAGTATTTATTCTGTCGGTCCTACCTTTTGGCTCTTGAACTATGAGGTGAGTACATTCATTCATCTTGAGCTGCCCTGTGTATTGCCCCCCGTGTTCAGCAGTAAGGCGCTGGACTTCTCTCCTGTCTGAGCTGCTCAAGCCGGTCACGCAAATCGTGCAGCCAAGGAACACAGGACAGGCATAGTCTGCCGCCTTAACATCCGTGTACCTCACCATGCTAAAGCAATGAAAGAGAGAAAAGGAAAGTATACTTTTTCTTCCGGGTAAAATCAACTAGAAAAAAAAAGTAGCCTGTGTTAACATAAGAATTACCAGTCCCTAAAATGAAATCAGTTTTGTTTTTTCATACCTTTGCTGAGACTTATCCCACAATGTCTTAACCCAAGAGGGAAGCAAAATAGGTTTCTTCAGAGAAGCAGCTACCAAGTATTTCTTGCTGCCAACTTCTCCAGCTATAAGATGAGTTACTGACACATTGAGGTCTCTGCACACACATCCACCCATCATCTGCACATATTTATGAACTTCTTCCTGGATGGGCAAAAAATATTATTGAAAATTATCAAGAAAAAAGAACCTACATGACAGTCGTGTTCACCTTAAAAAAACCAAAACAACTAAATGTGGATTTCAATTGTCCATGGTTTCCCCTAAAAAAAAAATTCAAAAAATACAAAATGGTTATATATAGAAGCCATAAAAACATAACTATAATTTCCATTCTATTTTCACTTACGATAAGTTGAACATAATATATACCCTTAATAAAAACATTACCATCACACTGCATAAGCAAAGTTTGACAGATGGTTGACATTTTAGGTAGCTTTAGAAAGAGCTATCAGAATAAATAAAAAGTAAACTTCTATGATAAACTACTTAAACCACAGTTGACTGGATATTAAACCTTTACCATGTAGTCTGAGTAACCAGAAATGTTGTCTGTAGCATTATAGTCGCAGACAAACTAGCAAGATAAGTGATCCATCTAATCAGTTAATAAAAATCCCTAAAATATACATTTACTCCCATATTAATACCCCTCAAATATGATTATATATGCATATACTTATGTGATATACATATGTGCATGCACAGATACAGCATTACATACATGTTTATATACTACATATACTTGCAAGACTCCCTCTTTCTTCATACAACTCTCTACATAAACTACACGTAGTCTACAAGCCACAGAAGACTAGATAAATCTAGACACAGGCAGTTAGACATACACAGTATGACTGCTGCCTTCGTAATGAGCCTCCTGAAGCAAACACCAACAACAATCAGCTAAGCAATCCATTTTTTGGAAGGCATTACCCTGACATCTTTCTCCAGGCTGGTACAGGACACCGTCACATCGGCCATGGTCATGTTGTACACAGGATACTCGGCTCTTGGGACACATCGCTGGGACTGCATGCAGTACAGCACTACCTGTGGTCCCACGATCCTGCAACCAAGCTGCAAGAAAGTAACAGAAAAAGCACAGAGAAAATAAGCAGAAGGCACACAGGTATCAGGAAGGCTTTCCTTGCCCGTGAATCCAAAGGAAGGCAGGGCCTCTTGGTCTGTCCTCCCCCTCCTCTACCACCTCTGGATAGCTGACGCTTTTGTTTTTGCTTTCGGCTGTGGATTTTCTGTACAATCTTTGTAGATTTTCTGGCCTCAGTAAAAACTGCAGATACTATGGCTAACATGCCAGAGAATTCCAGCTAGCCTATCTTTGTCTGCTAAACAATTCCTTGCAGCTAAAACCAAATCATGTTTCTCAGGAGATAAAAAAAAGTCTAAGAACCAGCTTAGGGACTCCAGCAGAATCAGAACTGACCATACTATTTTTCCACGTGTTTAAAAATAACGATTATGGTTTGCTAGCCATCTTCTCCCATAAAGAATGCAGCAAAAAGGATGCAGTGAAGTTCATAATACTTCACTCAGTGCAAGAGAGAACGTGCAGGATGTAAGTATAGACATGAGTTCTTCCAGAAAGGAAAGAATATAGCTAGGAGTAAGTTGCTGGGTAGCATACCTTTTTGAGATGACTGAAACCCACGCCTCTAAAAGGATCACAAATGTAAAGTGATTTATCATTTTCTTTTATGTTGAGTACTGTTTCTTCTTCAAGGATCTGGAGATGTTCTTCTGACTGCAACTCTTTTATAGACTGCAGGTAAATGATGCATACAATATTTATTAACAAATCACAAACAGACAGTCCTGTGCAAACTACACAAGTGCATCTCCTTGAAACAGCTCACAACAAAGCTACCATGCAAGGGACACCTTGTGGGTGTCCCTTCTGTTCCCCTGACTCTTCACAACGTTCTGACTCAATCATTCATCATACAACCTTTCAGGACCCGATCCTACCACACGATGCCTTTGGCTCCCACTAAGCTCTCAAGCTGGAAAACAATGCACGGTGTCCTCCCTAAGTTTGCTTAGGGCTTAAATGAGTGACCACCACCCAGATTTTATGGGCTGCATGTCTCTTCACTAAATGTCAACAGGGTTTGAAATAGTAGTTATCTCTTGGAATAATTTCTTCAACAAACTTGTTCTTGTTCAGCATACTTTATTAAACACTAGACACCTGTGTTATAGAAACAGCTTTATTTCCAGGTGTACACACGCGAGCTAACTTATTATATGGCGCATACAGCTCAGTCAACGACAGAAATCCACCAAACTCACTGACAGAGGTGACCAAGTCCACTTACCTCAAGAGCTTTGGAAAAATACTCCGAGCTCTCGGAAGACTTTATGAACTTCACAAAAAACGGCTCCTTGCTACCTCTCATCCTTTAACGGAGAAGCAAAGCCCAGTGAGCCCCCTGACATTTCCGCCGCACCCCGAAACCCCTCTGGTCCCTGTCCCCGCCCCACGGGCACACCCCACACCGCCCGGCCTCGGCGCCGACTTCTGACGAGAACGGAGGGGCGGGGGCAGGCTGGGCTCACCGGGAGGCCCCCTCCTCACGGGGCCCAAGGCCCAAGGCCCAGGGGCCCCTGCTGGGCCGAGGGTGCCCGGCGCGCCCGGTGCCCCCACAGACCCCCGCCGCGGCCGCGCCCGGTGCC